AAACTCATCTAGACCGATCGAAAAATCGTTTCGCAGGCGTGAAAGCCGAAGGAAGTGTCGTATGACACTAAAATATAGGAACACCTGTCCTTCTACTTCCAAACTGCAGAAAACCACTGGTCGATCCGAGTTCAAACTAGTAAATCAAAGAGGCATTTTTTCATTGCTCAAAGTGCTCCTAACAGAAGACATGTAATTTGCATATATATAAGAGGACATTGATTTTAATACGCTATGCAGAATTCTTTCTTTTTCGCAAAAGCACAATTAAAAAAAAAACGTATTTTCGATATGTACGAATGAAGAACAGTGATATAGATATATTTTAATATTTTGATAGTAGATTATTTTCCAGGATATCGTTATAAAAAGGAAAAACCGCATTATTATATTCTTCTAAAACGATCGTTTTGCATGCAAAATTTACCACCTAATAATGAATTACATATCTTCTGTTACAGCAGTTTGAGAGACGCGTATTCATTATTTAATTATTCGCAAAAATGTCATCTGTTACTTATTATAGAACAATGCGATTTACAATATCGGAATTATCCGTTTTATTTTCGTCTCGATACATCTCGGACGAAGAAAAGTTTCCTGTTCTTTACATGATGGCGAGAATGTCATTGTGGCTTTGAAAAAAATTATAGCATGTGTTGTTGAATCGATTTTGTTGATCACGTTTGAAATCAATTAAATATAAATACGTTTCATTTTAAAAACACCACAAATTTTCAAAGGAAAATTTGATCATACCCCAAAAAACGAAATCGCGAGCCTCCTATCCACTTTAAATATATGTTAACTCATCATGCACACGTCCACTATGTATAATCTGAAAACCCATTCAGAGCCTCGTTGATCGACGAGCTTTTCATCCGTCCTGTGCAAGGACTGAGAACGCATTCCCACCAGGAATCAATCATCGGCCGGAAAATCAGCGCTTTCAGCGCACGAGCTCGCCCTTTAATTTACGAAATAGGAACTTTATAGATCGCGGTCTTCCTCGCAAAAGAGGATGAATGTAAAAGAATCGATATAAATTTATTTTGCAAAATCCTAATTTTCTAAATTAAAAATTAGATCGTTGAACTTCTTCTATTGTTTTCCATTTTCATTTCTCTCACTAAAAGAGATAAAGAATTTGAAATGAAAATAGACTTTTCATTTAAAATTACGTATGTTAAAAATTCTTATTTATACCATATTCGTGTGATTTAATTATATCGTATATCGATTGCCTAAGTATATCACAAGAATTGAAAATGATAAAAAGAAATTAAAAGATTTTAATCGATTTCGAAGATTAGATAATCATTATGAACAGAAAAAAATCTGTTTCGATTCGTTTAGATTCATCCGTCCCTTTCCTTACAGAATCATTAGATGAATTATAGTCTGGTGTGTCGCAGGCCGGCTTCGGTTGTTGTCTATAAATAGAAACTAATCAGTAATTATATGTGTAATCGTCACAAGTCCGATCGTCCATTTCTATGCACGACGGAGTGCTTGGAAGTGACTTTCATCGCTCGCATCATTTGTCAGTGTCTTCATATATAGCACATATCACAGCATACTTTTAACGAGCTTGCTCTTGCTAAAATAATAATACAATGTCGTCGTGCCTCGAAGTACGATAATCTACCGTACGTCATGCGAGAAGGAAAATATCGAAACGAAAAAGTCTTATCGAGAATCGGTCCTCTTATCGGTGTAATATATCAGTGCCTTGATAGAATTTTTGCGACGGTGCGTACGTTGCATGTTACGAAACGTTGCGAGAAGGTGTCGTTTAACGTTAAAGAAGCCTTGACGTAAAAAAGCTGTAAATAATGAAAAAATGAAAATCTTACAGGAAAAGCTAAACGATATTTTACTTGAAAAAAGGGAGAAACGGAAAAAATGTTCTTTATATCTAGTTTACATCTCGTAAATATGTATGTATATGTATAACATTTGCAGCTTTTAAAGCGTTATTATATATTTTTGATATATTGAGTTTTTCATAATTGAGAATAAAAGCTTCTGATAATGATTGATTTACAGCCTGTTTTTTCATATCAAGCTTTTAAAGCAAAATTTGAGTAAACGGTATTGCAACGAATTACTACGCAAGCATAAATTAAAGAACATCATTAAAAGGTCGAAAATATGGTAACAGTAGATATTTAAATACTTGAATCGCGCAAGAATGCTTGTGATCAAAATTAATCAATATTTAAGCAATCAAAATAGACACTCTAGAATGATATAAATTAACGCTGTATTTCGTTATTAATTACAATATCTAACTCTCTCTCTCTCTCTCTCTCTCTCCCTCTCACGTATATTTATATGTAAATTAAAAACTAATATCGCGCGCGCGCGCGGCCTTGCGGAATATGTCCTTCGAAGTAATCGAACGAAATGAAGCACTGAGAATGATAGAGACCTAACAATAAGTCACACTTTTAATTAAAAATTGGTTAACGAAATAATTCTATTTGAGGAATGTTCCGTAGCTACTTCTGACCATCCAAGTGAAAAAATATCTAAAACGTGTGTGTTTAAAATATCCTTTAAATATATTTTATAAACGTTGGTGTTGTCGGGCAATTGTTCAATATATAGTATCGTAATGAGCAAGATAAAACAAATTATTTGTATGGAATAGAGCTTAGATTACACCCTATCAATTGGTTCTAAAGTTGACTCTCTGCGACTTTTAAGTCTATATAATTTTCAACGCTTCACATAATAAATACACGGAAAAATGCTCCTGTAGTAGCATCAAGAAACCCACGTGTCCGGCCAATCGAGAGACGCATATACTATGCTCACCGCGAAACTTTATTTGGAATGATACAACGCATCTGCCACGATCGTCAGACATACACACGTATATGTATGTACATGTATACATAGATTGCTCCCGACTCCGCGGATTTTCGCGGAGAAAGAGCGCAAAGTTGCGTAACGTTGCCGCCGTCGCGACAGAAAGAAAAGAAAAAGGAAGAAATGATATGCACTAGAAGAGCGGCTTACCAAAACAAAAGCACTGTATGTGTGAATGTGTATGTGTTTTTAAACGTTAAGCAGCGGCCCATAAAATGTAGGCGAATTAAAAAGAATTTATAGGAATCCGTTTTGCGCAAGCTTGTGTTTTTAATTTTCTAAATCGGCGTTATATAGATCGGCGTTAATATCATTAACAATTTTTTATCTATTCTATTTTGACAACAAAACGACCGGGAAAGCGGGTTCTCTATTAAAATTAAGATCAATCGATTAAGTTTCCCTTCTGTTCCATAATTGATGCATATTCGCAGTTAAAAGTATTGTTGATATAACGAGATTAAAGTTTAACAGACAGTACACGAATCTTAAAATCAATCCCTCATTTCCAAACTGAGATGTCCGGTTTCAAAAAAAAACGGATTCCCTTCAGATTTTCATTTTAATTCGTCCGTTTTTTGATCGAATAACCGCTCACTTAAACCGTATCGGAATAACTTTCGCTCGGCCAGACGTAGTACAAATGACGTCGGCGTACATACGCCTGCTGAAATTGCGTCTCAGTTGCCCGCGACGAACTTTGCGGTTCCTCTTGATGATCTTGCGATAGACCGACGTCAATGTCCGGTTCTGGCTATACTATGGTACCACCGCCTTCCGCCGGACTAACTACGTGGAGAGCGGTGCCGCCGACTTGGCCGATTCCCGGCTGAAATAAGAGAGAACATGAGTCTCTTACTGACATTAATGCTCTTCCAATCATTGCGTAAACGCATTATTCTCGAAAAGTTTTTACATATTGTACATTATAAATACTGCTGCTTATTATTTTATAAATTAGAAATTTCTTTTTTTTTATATGTGACAATTTATAATTGAATTAAATAAATAAAGTATAGAAAGAAATCCAACGATCCGCTAAGACACAATCCTTATAAATTTATACCTTCATAGTAAGATGAAAAAGTTTATATCTTTAATGTAACAAATTTCGTATCTTTAGTAAATAAAAAATTATAACAACGTGTAAATAATTTGTATTATACACATATTGTTTATCTTAGTTTAGAAACTTTTCGGAGATAATGAAAATTTGGCAAGTGCGTATATGAGCCGAGAAAAATATGGTGCAATTCATAGTGTAAAATTCGGAAGCGTTGCCGAGCAATATCTCGACAAGAATGTGTGTGAATACGACTCGAGCGTGTATATTCTATTCTACTCAATGATAAGTCTGATCAAGCGGTAAAAAAAGCAAAATAGAACAAAAAATGATAAGTCATACGTACCATGCGATAACTCAGGGAAGTCTCATCCACGATATTCTCTTGCATCAGCCAAAGCGTGGTACAGAACATTAATCTTTCCGATCAATCAAAAGTAAGAAAAAGGAATTAATGCTTCATTGGCTTTGAGAAATAAGCGCAAGCATTGTCCGTTTAAAATTATAAAAGACGCATTTTTTTTTTAAATTATATAAGTCGCGCTATAAAAGAAGCTATAATGAACTTTATATCGCAAACTCCGCAATTAGTTAGGTATTCACAGCGTTGGCCAAAAGCGTAAAAGGCTACTTTCATTTAAAAAATTGTAATATATCAAACTCATGTGAATCAATAGGAGTGAAGACCTTGAAGACTGAATAATTGTATTACAAAATATTTGTCATAATTCTAATTTATAAATTCGCAAATCTACTAGTTTAATTGAACATAATTTAATGAAGCTGCCCTTAATTTTGGTCAAAGCTGTAGAATGAAAGGGTGAGTGTGGAATACAAATGCTCTATGCAAAACGCCAGGAAACACTATTCGAGCCCTAGAATCAGGACCTAGTATTGTCGAAAATATAATGAAAAAAAAAAGAAAACATGCGAGACGGCAAACTGTAAATAAACATCGTCTTACATGTCATTATATGTATTTTTCCGACTGTTTTCTCCCTGGAGCTTCTGCATTGCACTTGATTGAACAAAATTTCAACAAGCGAAAAGCAAGCAGCGATTGTTCATTCAAATTTTCGCTTTATTATACAACAAGGCAAAATTCATCGTTTCCAACAAAAGATTAAATGTTTTCGCATCTCATATCGTTAATCTGAGACGACAGTTTGACTAAGTAATTGTCCGTTGATTTTTTATGCTCGGCTAAGTTAAGCTAACAACACTTTACAGGAAATAGGAAGAAGGCTTTCTTCGATAAAGGGGCCTGCCCTGTCACAAGACGCCTCATAGGGCTCAAACAACATTGCTCTCGAGGATGCAAACCAAAAACATAAATATATCGATATTCGATATCTATCCTAGCTCGCGTAATTCTGCAATAATTATCGCGAGGATATATCTTGACCAGACCATCATTAGGCACAGGTATTAACGACAGCCTATACTATGAATGAACTTTAAGCACACATGAATGTTCTTTGTTCGCAACGCATGCACTAAAGATATTAGAATAGAATTGATAATACATAAATAGAAGATAATTAAAGCTTGTCCGTGCGCACGTGAGCGTATTTCTCGCAAAAAATGCAATATTAATAGAAACTATATTAATATATATATTCAAGAAAAAACAAAAACAAATACCATAGTATGTGTACGCGCGCTCTATACTACTTAATTTGAAATATCTAATTTCATGCATTTCGAGTATAATAAATTTATTAATTAATTTGAGAATATCGCGAATTTATCTGATCAAATGGAAAAAATATCCTCAATAAAAAGCAAAATTATCCAAAAGTTATATTTATAACTTTATAAATATTAAAAAATATCTAAAAATACTAAAAGATGCCCTAAAATTGTCAAGGGTCTGATGATAACAAATATATTTTAGGCTACAAGTTTGTTCACTCATAGTATCGTCCGTCCATGTACTTCTGTAATCCACATATATACACAATATAAACTTAAAGAAAAATACTTAAAAAATCCTTAATGCTTTCTCTTTGATGGCACCTCCCAATACTAATAGAACTCAAACGCAAGTATATATCTCAGTTGTAGACTTAAACAGACTGAATAGGGACTCTCTTTCTCTCTCTCTCTCTAAGATTAAATACTGATCGTAGCATATAAAACTTAAATAACAGCGACGCGACCGTCGTATCAAACATCCGGCAAGGTAATATCGAATTCGTCAATGTGTATTTTGTTCTAATACTTCCGAGCAAAAACTATCATTCGTCTTCAAAACTTCCTCCCGCCACCACGACAGGCGATAGGAAGACTATCCCAAAGCATTACAAGATTTTCCCGTGCCACTTTCGTCACGATAACATCATTCTAAATTCTAACTCTATGTATATGTATGTACACAGGATTCGGATTTTCAGACTAACAGACTCTACTTGATGGATTTGCTAAATAACGATTTGGAGATAACGGGTTACATCAGAGGTCGTTACATCGCATGGAATTGATATTACTAGTGTAAGGGTTGTTGCTATGATGGTGTGATGGCCTGTGCAGGGTGCTGCTTATCGTGAGAGGACCTACCATGTGGCCGGGTCTTGCCCACGTGTACACGTATCCGTCCTGACACGCCGTCACGAAGCAATCTTCCCTAAACACTAATTCAGTCAGCCTCTCGTGCGCCAGCTTCTTACACACCAGCGGCTCGAGAACCGGGCACTCGTCGAACCTGGGACACCAGGCGGTCCCTATCAACCTCATGGGATCGTCCATCACGGAACTAACCTTTTTATTCCCCATTCCACCTACTAAACCCCCACCGACACTGTTGTTCAGACTACTACTCGTCGTATTCGTCGAGTTTCCAGTGCTCGTCTTATCGCCACCATTGTTTTGCACGACTGTCGTCGTGCTGTTGTTGGCCGTCGTTGCCGCCGCCGCCGCACCAGTGCCTCCACCTCGCATAGTGAGACTAAAGTTTCTCTTGTGATTATCACCTTTACGTTCGCCAAAACCAAGACCCGCTAGCCTCTGCGTCAACGAATTCACGGTCGCCACTGCGGCGTTCGTGCTCGTACTATTATTACTATTTTCGTTATTACCACTCGCGTTCTCTTTGAAGTTTACATTATTCGAGTTATTATGTTTAGTATTCGAGTTCGAGTGATGATTCGCCGTCGCTGCCGTTCCGTTACCACTATTAAACGTACCCGAAGACGACAGGGTTCCGCTGGTAGCACCCGTTACAGAGGATCTCTGCTTGGCGCACACAGGTTGCCTCAATACGTCTTCCGTGATGTCCCACAGACACAGCTGAGTGTCTTGGGATACACTGCCCAATCTGTAGCACGTACCCCCCGACATTCTCAATTCCGAGCCACAGGAGTTACGGTTCGAGTGGCCGCCACCGCCGCCCTGCGAGGTCGTAGAAAGACGGTGCGACTTCTCATGGAAGTGATTGTGATTGCTGTGTGGCATCGTTGTCTCGTCATCCGAGCCGCTAAAGTCAGGATCGTGATCGCCGTAGGACGTGGTATACGGATCAAAGGCGACCACGCTCACCCAACTGTGATGGCCTTGTCCCCGTGCCACGACGCGTTTCTCGTGGAAGCTCCAAATGGTCACCAAATCGTCCTCGCCGCCGACCACCACATAACGTCCGTCCGGTGACCAACACACGCACAGAAAGCCACCAAAATAGCTCCTTGCCGAACCAACCAACTCCATGGTGTTGTATTGAAAAACGCGTAAAAATCCATCCTGAGATACCACGGCCAGATTTGTGCCACAAGGGCTGAAGGCGAACTCGTTTATACAACAACCTTCCGCGCCTATCACCCATCGATACAGCGGATTTCTCGTGGATTTAGTCTTGCAGGTATATATGGCGTATCCATCACCTGACTTGAATGACTGATAGTGAGGCGCTGTGGTGCCACAGAGCAGCTCTTCGTTATAAAGATACAGTTGACCAGAACTGTGAGAAACCAGAAATAGGTTGTTCGAGCCAGGAACCCACTTTATGCATGTCACTTTGCTCTTGTCTATCAGCCTCTGAAATATAAATATTCTTTATTGAAAAAAGATAGAAGTATAGAAAAATATATTCACGTGCGTATCAAGACAAAACATAATTAATATTAAAAAGTTAATATTAATAAGTTAGATAAAAAATTTAGAGATAAATAATTTTTTAGATTGTTATTTCAAAGTTAATTGATAAATAAACAAATCAATATGTAATTTGAAAATAACATTGGGTAGTAGAGGGTTAAAAGAAGACAAGTATTAAATGTATACACATATCTCATGAAATATAATGATTAAACAAAAATAACGAATCAGTTGACACATTTATTGACACCAAAATGTATTTAAAATAGACAGCACAACTGTTCCACCAAAGCCTATATCTGTTATGAGAAGATAGCGGAAAGTTATGTAATGTTGCTTGCTGAGCTTAATTATTTGATTGAGTTATAATTGAATTAGTGTGTTGGTCTACCGGCAAAAAGTAGCCTGGACAATATGCTATTAAATATTAAGTACAGTCATTATAAGATGTAATAGATGGTATTAACCACTGAACTAGCATTCATTTTCCATTTTATCATATTTCAATAAGATAACATACACATATCACAGAGATTGGATAAGTGTCGACAGCTTTTGTACACATTACTAGGAAAGTATGATGATATATACTAGTTGCATAAAGAATATTGTTTGAACTATCAGATTATTTATCTCAATGTAAGCTAGATTGCAGATATAATGCAGGAAATCATAAAATTCTCTCTCTGGCTAATAAATGCAATACAGGAGAGAAATTTTCTTCACGGATTAAATGTCTGATAAAAAATTTATGATTCATGCAAAATTTAATCTTACGTACATCTTCATTGTATAATTTGCTGAGTTCCTTCTTTATCGGATCAATCAACTGTATCTGCCCTGTAGAAAATCCCACCAATAATGGAGCACTATCAGCTGTTGCTGTTGTTTGATTAAAATTGTGGCAAGTTGGATTAGTCCCTTTGTATAATTTTTTATCCACTGGTTTGTTCAAGTCCACAGCCTGAAATATTTTAATGATATATTAAAACTTTAAGCTTCTTTAATTAAACCTTTG